TGGTAGTGACTAGCACGTTGTGGGCACTGAGCAAAACAGTGTTGACTGTTTGGGACAAGCTGTCACAAAAAGAGCAAAGCTTGTGTGGAAAGCAAATTGCTTGAGCCTCAGCAACATTATCCTGTCCTCCTTTCTTTAACTGTATTTTTAAATAGACCCTGCTGCTTAATATCAAAAAGACTGTCCTTGCTTTCCTGTGTCCTAAGACAAGTAAGAGGTGCCCTGCCAGAGGACATCTCCTCATAATGGGCATGCATGTTTCTAGCAAACAGCCTGCTGAAAGGTGAGGCTGTTTGACTGGGGATCTTATAAATTGTACACATGGTTCAGTTTCCCTCTAATTACTTATTCATTCAGCATTCACTTAACAGTTCACAGAGATGGTTCAGCTCTAAAAAATCTAGTGGTCAAACCAGACATAGCAGTCTACCAAGGCCATGCTAATATGTGATATCCTACCATTCTTTTTAGCCAAAGCAAAATATGACAACCAAATTCCACTAGAGCACCACCTTCACGCAGAAGTTGTGTCAGAGGCAAAGACCCTGTAAGACCCCAGCATAGCCACATTGGATGTCATGTCAAGCTGCCTGTTGCCACCATCCGTTCCAAGCAGGTTTTCAGCAGTTAATCCATTCCTGAGTTGCTTGCTCAAAAGAACCTCAGCTGAATGGCAGCTGAATGAAGCCAACATTTGCCACCAAAGTAGACTACAGTGGGCTCCTCCCTCATAGTCACCTACCCTGTAGAAATAGCCTCCTCACCAAAAATCAAATTCTGGTCCTGCCCCCAGGCACCAAGGCCAGGGACTTTTGAAATCCATCCTCCAATCCCTCCTACCTTCTACCTCCGGAGTGCAACCCTTTGTGGTAGGCATTTCTTACCTGTATAGCTTCCCTGAGATCAGCTTCTTCTGCCTTCTTTCCTTTCTCACTTTTCACTGACAAAAGAGATAGCAGGCTCAGTCATTGTCCCTGAGGCCCACCTTCCCATTCCTAAACTCCATGTGCCCACAGCCTTAGGAATTAGATTTCTATTCCACCACAGCATCCACAGTGCAGACGCAGTATCCCAGATGCTTGGTCCAGTTTGCGAAAGGGCACAGAGCTGCACAGAATTCTGCATGTCCTCCATTAGCTGTAAATCACTGCTAGATTCCTTGTGATGCCAAACACAGGTAACTGTTTCAGGCCTTTCTTTAGGGAGAATGGTAGAGAAAAGATATGTTTGTGTTGATGCTTTCAGTATTCTACTTTGGCTGTTGGTTGAATCTATGGGCATGGAGTCCCTGCTTACCAAAGCCCAACCATGCATTTTATTTCCTTGTCAACAAAAAGCACATTTGCCTGCAGCTTATCGCCACATGAAGGCTCAGGCAGAGTGGCTGTTTCCAAACTTAAATGAACCTGTAGAAATACCTTTCTGCCTTTCCTACTTTTGCTTCAGTACTAGGGTTTAACCAACTGAGAGCTTCACCAAATGAAGAGAGCAACTAAACACACTTACAGATTATTTTACACCGGTTTTCTTTGCCACATAAAATCCTTTTATAAACTGTCTTGTATGAATTTGTTGTATGTGGCTATAAACACAAACCAACTGCAGTAAATTGTGATCAAACTTTTAGTAACTATGTGGTCTTCTTTCTGGGATCATCAACGTGTTCTATTTAAAAGGGCCCGATGCTAGATTTGTACCTAGTAGTCTACCTTGTAAGAGAATTTTAGGAAATCTGTGTTGACAAATGAATGAATACTTGTAGCCACTTCCTTTGAATGAAATATGTTAGTCACTTGGCAGTAAACTCAACAGGAAGAGTCCCAAGAGCAGGCACAAGAGTCACTATGTAGCCCAAGAACTCAAATCCTTGTGCCTGGATTCTAGGATTTGGGGCATACTCCATCCGAAGATGCTTAGTTATGTAATTGTGTGTAATTGCCTTAGCAGAGCTGGTAAGCATCAGCCTATCACTTCTACCTCCACTGCCTGATACCCTGCCTGGGCAGAAGAGCTGTTTCTCTTTCTCTCTCTCTCTCTCTCTCTCTCTCTCTCTCTCTCTCTCTCTCTCTCTCACTTTTTGTGAACATTTATTGGGGTTTTTTGTTTCTATTCATAAAGATAAAACTCCAAGAACTATTAAACTCTCTTTCCCAAGGTTAAGGCTTCTTCTACTATTCATGCAAATCCTGCAGTCAGTCTAATAGGGGAAACCTGGTTTTCTCATTTTCTCTCAGAAATGTTCTTTGGGATGAAGTATTTCTTACTGGCATTCTTACTATTTGCTATCACAGCTGTGTCTTTAGAATTGTGTTGCTGGGCGGTGGTGGCGCACGCCTTTAATCCCAGCACTTGGGAGGCAGAGACAGGCGGATTTCTGAGTTCGAGGCCAGCCTGGTCTACAGAATGAGTTCCAGGACAGACAGGGCTACACAGAGAAACCCTGTCTCTAAAAAACAAAACAGATAGATAGATAGATAGATAGATAGATAGATAGATAGATAGATAGA